CGGAAGACGAGGCTGCAGCGGCTGCCGCCGCAGCCGCTGCAAACACGGCCGCCACTGCCTGGGGCAAGTAGCGTTCACCACCGGCGAGAGAAAAAGAGGAAGATGAGGAGGAAGGCAGCAACTGATTGACTGCTGCCGGGGATATTGTGGCTTGTCTAGATCGCTGTGACGAAGATCCGCTCGATCGGCTGAGAATAGGGGAAGATGAAGAGCAGCAAGAGGAAGCAAGATTGATTGGATCAGACACAGCCGCCTGAGGCTGACTGCGCCGGCGTGAGCGAGCTCTAATTGGAGTAACCGAATCCCCTGATGCTTGTGATGCAACACTTAGGAGAGCACTGTCGGCAGAAGCTCTGCCAGATCTGCTGCGAGCGACTCGTCCAGACGAAGTGGTGATGGAGGAAGAGCCGCGATAGGAAGATCCAGAGCCAGATGCAGAAGCGGCCGTGAGTGGAGTTCGGTCTTGCGGAAGGTCGTTGAAAGGTACCTCCAAAGCTTGGGTCTCCGCACGTAACAAGGAATCCCATTCAAGCAGGCCACAAATACATGTTTGCGTGGATCTGGATACAAATTCAGCTTGGGCCGGAACCCGAAGCCCAGAGGCTTCGAGATCGGGACATCCTATGTAATCAGTGAGACGAGGTGAGAAGAGGGCTGTAAGGATGCGCTGTGTGGCAAGACCTCGGGGACCACAAGTACCCTCCAACTGGAGCAGCGAGTTTGTATAAGTATGAATTCGCAAGGAGAACTGATTGTAAATGAAAAAATTAAACCCAATTAGGCAAGCATGCTAGGTGGAAAGCGCTAATTTCTAGGCAAATACTTAAGGCTGAGTTGATGAGATACATGAGAGCAAAGAGAGGAGTGAGAAAAGGCAATTGACATAAAAATGGTAAAATGAAAATTAAATTGTCAGAAATTAATGAATGTGTAATGTGATTTCAGTGAGACTCAGTACAGCATCAAAAAGGATCCCTCTAGATGAAATGATGAGCCTAATAAGTGAAGTCATCTATTTAGGGCTTCGGGATAAAGTGGAATGGCAGACCATTGGCTATCTCGAATTATGCAAGCTTATAATATATATATTGCTAAATCAAAGGTGGCAAATGAAATGCATAAAAGGAGCCTCCAAGATCAGTTAGATTAATTTTAAAATGAAGTCATAATGAAATGGAATAGGAAAATGTGTAGGCTGAAAATGACATATGGAAGATCTAAGCAGTAGTCTTTCAAGAGTAAAAAAAATATATCGATGTTGAGACAAAGCCTGATGGGATAACATTAGGAAGCTTCAAAAACTATCAAATTGTAAGAAAATCTCATAATTGAGTGATGTTTTCGATATCAGCAGTATATATCAGCTATCAAGTCTTTCAACACTTACAATTGGTGTATTAAATGATTTACTGCCAAGAAGATGCAATAATGAACCTTAATCTGCACGTGAAATTTCCATAATATACGAGGATTGATGAGTTTTTGATGGATCTACTAATATTTGGGCCATAAACTTATGTTAATTTAGCGTGAAAATAACATATTATCATATTTGCAAGCCAAGCTCACCAGATTCTCCTTGATTTGCTGAGTTTATCATATGAACGAAATAATCCATTCTTAAAATGAAATCAAAACTAATATCGGAAAAGCAAAACTAATTGACTCATTGTAACATAATTCACAAGCCAAAAAATGTAAAGTTTAGGAGATATACAATAAGATTTTTAATCCCTTTTATGACCACTAGTTAGGAGTTAATAAGAATTTGTAAGATTGATAATCCGCAAATAATTTAAAGGGATGATGTATCAGTAAGTCAATTTATGCTAACATCCCAGTTCAAAGAGCTCTTCCTGTTAGAGCAGAATTAGAAAGACATTTCGAAAGTAGGGGAGATTAGATTTAGCCTTTGTTTATCGACTACTTAACTATGCAGTA